AAATTATTGTATGTATCATTAGTTTGTTTCTTTTTATTGTTGGGTGGTATTCTTTTTTGTATACTATACTTTATTCTTCTGCTGATAGATTGTTGTTGTTAAGTAACATAGAGTCAGTTCTGACTCCTAGCACAATAGGTCAAAACACTGCCCAGTCCTTTGCCATCCTCACAATTGTTGTTGTGGTTGAGCCGATAGCTGCTGTCACTGTGTCAATCCATATCATTGGGAGTATTCCTCTTTTTTGCTTACTCTCCACTTTACCAATCATGATGTCCTTCTGCAAGAACTGGTCCCTCCTAATATGTCCAAAGTGCAAGAGACAAAGTCTCACCAACCTTGCTTCATAGGAGCACCCTGGCTGTACTTCTTCCAACGTAGATTTGTTTGTTCTACTAGCAGTCTAGGGTAGTTTCAATATTCTTCACCAACATCATAATTCAAATGCATCAATTCTCCTTCAGTTTTCTTTGTTTGTTTATAATCTTGCACAGTTTCTGAAGGTCCAGAATTTGTGAACAGCTTATCTGAGTGGTTGTGGGTCAGGTTTATCGTGAATTTGTAGTCAAGCTGCCCATTAGTGCTGCAGTCATCTAAACATTTGATTGTGGCTAGAGGAATCATTTCCAGAATGACTACTCATATTGTTCAGCATAGCATCTGGTTTCTCCAAATCAAGTGATCTGAGAGACAAAGACAGAAATCACAATGTCTTCCAGAATATTGGATGTGACACGCAATCACTTCTGCCACAGTTTATGTCAGAAATACCAGCCAAGTGGCAGAGACTGATCTGATTGTACTGATGAATGCCTACCCTTCTGCTAAGTACTTTACATGCATTATTTCATCTAATCCTGTCAATCCCATGGACCATTCTACCGTAAAGATGGTAAAACTGGGGCTTATAAAAGTGAAGTAAACTGTCCAATTCTAAAAGTTGTTAGATGGCCGAGCCAAAGTTAAAACACAGATCTTTCTGGTTCCAAAGGCGATAAAATGGTTCCTGGGGAAGGCAATTAAATAGAAAAAAAGAAATTTCTTTCTTCTTTTTTTTCTCCCAATGGACTCGACGCTAAACAACATATATTTATTTTCTCATTAGGGCAAAACATTGGGAACTTTCTTGCAAAAGAAAAAAGGGAAAGGAAAGAAGGAGGAAAAGGGTGCAGAAAAAAAGAAAAAGAAAAATGCTTCCCAGTAAAATGGATGCAAGAATTACACTCCTTCAGAAAGAAATTCATTTAGATTGTCCTGTGCATTTTCTTTATACTGAGTCTAACTTATTTGTTTATGGGAAAAGAAACTAGAAATGACATTAACAGGAAAACCTTAAAACTTTTCAGGAAGATGAAGAGTGAATTGGTTTGTATTCTACAGCTGATAAGACGTTGATTTAATTTTTTCCTCCTTTACTGTACTAACATTTAAGGTTTTTGGCAGATCCTTTGGAAAAAGGAATGTCAAGAATTCTGTCAGTGACTGGTGATAGTCAATGCAACAAAAATGTTGTTGTTGTTGTCAGGTTGTTGTTGTCAGGAACCGACTCATAGTGACCCCATGCACAGCAGAACGAAACAATGTCCGATCCTGGGCCAACCTCACTACCGCTGCCACACTTGACGCCATCAATGATGCCACCTGGCCAATCCATCTTGTTAGCAGTCTTCCCCTTTTTCTCTGACCCTCCACCTTACCCAGCATGACATCCTTCTCCAGTTACTGTTCCCTCAGGACAATATGTCCAAAGTATGAGAGATGGAGCTTAGCCATCCTGGCCTCCAAGGAGCACTCTGGCTGCACTTCTTCCAAAACAGATCTATTGGTTCTTTTGGCAGTCCACAGCACTTTCAGTATTCTCCTCCAACACCACAACTCAAAGGCATCAATTCTACGATCCTCCTTATTCACTGTCCAGCTTTCACATCCATATGAGGCTATTGAAAATACCATGGCTTGGGTCAGGCACACCTTAGTCCTCAAGCTGACATCTCTGCTCGTCAATACTTTAAAAAGTTCCTGTGCAGCAGATTTGCCTAAAGCAATACGTTGTCTGATCTCTTGACTGCTGCTTTTGTGAGTGTTGATAGTCGATCCAAGAAGAATGAAGTCCTTGATAACTTCAATCTTTTCTCCATTGATAAGAATGTTGTTTATTGGTCCAGTGGTGAGGATTTTTGTTTTCTTGACATTGAGATGCAATCCATACTGAAGGCTGTGCTCTTTGATCTTCATAAGTAAATGTTTTAAGTCCTTTTCACTTTCAGCAAGCAAGGTTGTATCGTGGGCATATCGCAGGTTGTGAATGAGTCTTCCTCCAATCCTGACGCCATGTTTTTCTTCATAGAACCCAGCTTCTCGTATTATTTGCTCAGCATACAAGTTGAATAAGTATGGTGAAAGAACACTGGTAGCGTAGTGGTTAGAATTGGGCTGCGAACCATAAGGTCAGCAGTTCGAAACTACCAGCTGTTCCGCGGAAGAAAGATGAGGCTTTCTGCTGCCATAAAGATTTACAGCCTCGGAAACCCTGTATAGGGTCCCTATGAGTTGGAACCGACTCCACGACACATAACAACAACAAACAAAAACGTATTTATCATTTAAAGTGCATGTGGTGAGGCTTGTTGGATTTACAAAGCAAATGGGACAGTATCTGCTGTCAAAGAGGTAATTTGGCCATGGTGTTGTAGTTATGTGTTGTCGAGTCAGTACTGATTCATAGTGATCTGGTATAGGGTTTCCAAGGAGTGGCTGGTGGATTTGAACCACCAATCTTGTGATTAGCAGTCCAGTGCTGATCCTACTGTGCCACCAGGACTCCGATTTAATTATTTGTTTTTGTTGTTAAGTGCTGTTGAGTCTGTTACAACCCACAGTGACTCTGTATACGATTTCGGATGGAGCAGCTGGTGAGCTTGAACTGCCGACCTTTTGGTTCAAACCAACTTTGCAGTCCGCTGCATTAACCCACAGCAAACCAGGACTCAGACCATACAAAAATAATCATAACACAGGGAAGTGTGAACACCAGGGAGAGGCACATATCAAGTGCTTATTGAGGTCATACATTTAGAAAAGACCAGCCATATCTTTTAAACACATTTGGTGTTTATTAAGATAATCTAGTAGATAATCACTGGAAGTTTGCATATTGAGGCAGACAGGCATTATTTATTATTTTTTAAAGCCTTTGTTAAACTCCTAAAGACAGTGATTTACTCCCAGTTCCAGACATCGCCCATCAGCTCTCTACAAAGAGTAGCACAAAATGGGCTCTATATGTTTTTGTTTTTTTCTTTTCAAAGCAAGATGAAGAAAGCAGGGCTAAGGTTTGAAAGTCCAGTCAAGCCTTTCTTGAGAAGGTAGGAATCAAATCGGCACAAAGAAAAGGAGGGGGTGGAGTCAGTGGAGCGGGTGCAGCAACAGTTGATAAACACTGCAGTGAGGTTAAGGTGATCAGGCTGGGATAGAAATTAAAAGACAGTGTAGTGGTCCCTCCTTAGTAGAGTTGAATGAGGAAGTGTCTCCCTTACCACATCTCCCCTGTGAAATCCATCTGTCATTGCACAGTTGGAACCGAAGGGAGAATCTGAGTCCGTTTTTAGCTCTAACTCAAGCTATCTTCTTTCCCCCCATTATCTCGCATCCCGTGTCGCTGGCCTTGCAGCCATGGAGCTGCAGGCATGATGCAAAAACTAATTTCAGACCAAAATTTATCATGGCCACTGAGCAGGCTTAGCTTTCAATCTTTGGTGGACTCCACGACTCCAGATTTTAGGTCTGGCAGTTCAGGGGCGGGAGATCTGTGGTGTCGTGGCAGAGGCCACAGGTGGAACTAGCAGTTTGAGCGAAGTTAAAGGAGGAAGCTTGGAGATTAAGGGTGACCAGGCTGGGAACCAAAGGAGACGCTGAGAAAACAATGATATAATATGGTTGGCCTTGACCTGGTCGGCTCCCCTTTGTGGAGAGCAGTTCGTTATTCCGATACGCGGAGTGTGGTGCTTCCTGGGAGAAGAGCGACAGTTCAGTGTCCAGCAGAGCTCAGTGGAAAGCGTTTGGGGGTGGTGGTGAGGACAGCTAGGGAATTGTCGTTACTACCCAGTAGTGGTCCTCTCGAGCCCTCCCTAGCTACACCTTTGCAGGAACAGGGTGTTGGTGAAGAAGCTTAAGGTACGATGCAGGGAGTTCACTTGGACTTTCCCGAGAGACTCCACTCCCCCATGTCGTAGTCGGGGCTGGTAGCCAGGACCGTACATCTGGTCAGCCTGGAACCGGTTCAGAAGCTCACCTTTGTCACCTCAAGTTTTGGCACTTGGGCTCCTGTCTGGATGCACTCGGACCTATAAGGATCCGAGACTCTGACGCTCATTGGGAGGGTATTCATTATTAATAAGGGATTCCTTATTACTAAGCATATAAACAACGATCACTGAAGATGTGCTCCTGGTTACAAAACGTGCAGCTGATGCCTCCGCCCAGAGGGCAGGGCAAGGGCCGGTGCGCCCCTGTCCCACTAGTGTGGGCAGCGCGCGCACAAGAGGCTCGAGAGCAGCATTAAGGGAAGTGCAGACACCGCAACATCACACCAAATCCTATAGCTCTGGGTGCCCAGAACTCTCAAGGTATGCTTCGGGGCGGTCCTGTCTGACCCCGGAAGAGAAAGTTGTTTTGGGGAGGAGAAAGAGAGGAGAAGGAGACTGAGTAGAAATAAAAACCAAAGTTGTTCGGATCCCCTCTGGCGCGCCCCCACCCTCACCTATCTCTGCAACTTTGCCCTGACCCCTCTAGAGTCTGGTTTTCCCCTACGGTTCGAGGCTTCCCGGGTCCCAGCTGAAGTTAGGGTACAGCGGGCTCCGGGTCCGCAACTCCCCCGACCCTCTCAGGATCTAGGTCGCCAGGAAAACCCGGAGCGGAGCATCCTCCACGCCGGGAAACGCCCTGGGCGCGCGCCCACTGCCGCGCATGCTCGGTGCGCGCGCCGGCGGCGAGTAGGAAGCTCCGTGCGGCGGCAGCAGAGGCAGCGTCGGCTGTGGCCACTGCAGGGTGGGAGGGGGCGGACCGCCTGGCGGGTGGGGGCGCTGGGACTTGGCTACGACTCCCGTCCGAGGTGTCTGGGAGCGTTTCGGATCTCGAAGCCCTGCGCGAGCAGCGAACGAGTTGGGGAGCCAACGAGCGCCGAGCGAACAGCGGGTGGAGCGAAGCCGTCGAGCGGAGCGGGCTGGGAGCCCGGGTCTCGGAGGCTCGGGACCCGGCTCCAGTCGCGGCGGGGCGGCGATGTTCCACTGCATCCCCCTGTGGCGGTGTAACCGTCATGTGGAAAGCATCGACAAGCGCCACTGCTCGCTGGTCTATGTCCCCGAGGAGATCTACCGCTACGCCCGCAGCCTGGAAGAACTGCTGCTGGACGCTAATCAGCTCCGCGAGCTGCCCGAGGTGAGTGGCCGGCCTCACCTGCGCGCCGCCTTCGGGGAGCGCGGTCCGACCGGGTCAGCTGCGCCCCTTCCTCTCCCGCTCCCTCCTCTGCGATTCCTCTCCCAGCTTTGGGCTCCATCCCCGCAGCTGGACCCACGGAACCACTCTCTCCTTCATTCACCTGCTTTCTCCCTTTGCCTTGTCCCGCCTTCCCCCACCACCCTCCCATTTTAAAAGTTTCTTTTCTTGTTACACAAAGCGACTTGGTGTTTTCCAAGTAGAAAGAAAGCTTGTGTGTTTGGAGAAACGTTCTGGACTGATAAGTCTTTTGGATACTTATCAAGGTACTTTCCTCCTAACACCTGGCAATTGTGCATGGCCAAGTGAACCAGATGGCTGTCCCTAGATGGAGGGACCAAGCGCTGGATCTCATGCCCTGGGGCCATTCTCCCCATCTGCGTTCTTTGACCACTGGCTGGGACGCGTCTCTCCTTTGTCCCGGGCAGGTTCCCCAGGAAGCGGGCAGCGCGCTAGGAAGCCGCACTATCTCGGCATCTTCCGAGGAATCTACTTGGCCTTATCGCGGGCGGTGCTCCGAAGAGCTAGAAATAGGCAGGCCTTCCTTGTCTGGAGCCGCAGTGAGCTGGAAGGGTATGGAGGAAGTCTGGGCCTGGGAAGCTGTGGGCAGGTGCCCTTATGTCCGGCCCCCAGGCTTTGCCTTCATGGACCTGTTGCATGTTTAGGGCCGCGGTGAATGTCAGCCCCGTGCGCCTGGCGTTTTCTTCTCCCGGAACAGCAGTATTCAGCCTGCAGACTTCTGTCTTTGCAGTGATGCATTACCTCTTCAGACTTGTTTACGTACATTAATCACTCTGCTTTCGCCTAACTTGCCTAGCGACACAGGCTAACTGTGCTTTAATGGGGGTTCAGGGGTGGAGGGTGGGTGGGCTGAGAACTTTAACCTTTGAGCTTTTCTCAGGAATTTAGCTTAACTAACTTTTAGGACAGAGGAAGGCACCCCAAATCCAGGCTACAGGAAATCAGTGTACAGTAATCCAAAGGTGTGCAGGAAGTAGGAACTCTGCAAGCGTCCAGGAGAGGGCCGAAAGGCCCAAGACTGGAAATTCAGCTTGGTTGAACTTTAGTTAATGTCACAGGAACATTTACTAGTCAAATGTCCTGGCTTGTCCCAATAACCTGATATGGTCTCTAGCACTGACAGATTGTTTTAGAAATCAGAACTGTGTTTCCCTTATTTTAAGTGTTATTCTTTTTCTTGGATTAATTTTTACTTGGTTCGTGTGGAATGTATGTGTAATCATGAAGATTATCCTAACTAGGATCTTTGCAAAGCTTTCCCTCTTGTCCTTGTTCTCTCCCCTACCTCCCATTCCTACCCCCCCCCCCCCCCCAAACTACCACACACACACTTTATTTAGCTTGGAAGCTGAAAAGTCATCTAGCTCACTCAGGCATTCATTATTTTGCAGGCATTTTCAAACACATGACTTTGTCCTTTAGTTTTGTTAAGTTTGACTTGGTTGTGTAATCTTTAGGCATTGCTGTAACCAGAAGTTTAGAATACGTAGTTTAGTACTTTTCAGAATGGAGTAGTTAAAGACTGAATGAAAAGTCCTTCAAATACAGGCATTACTGTCTCCGGTCTCCGTGGTGGTACTTTTGTTTGTTTGTTTTTTTTTACAGAACTGGAAGATTTTCTTTGATGAGGTTGGCTTTTCACTCCCTTCTGCAAAGCTTGTGGGTTTTCCTGTAACGTTGGAGAATGCAGTTGTTATGGGAAATTACTGTTTTTGCAGTGCTAGGTATTTTTATTGGTTCTAAATAAAAATTCAGGAGCTCAGAATATAGTCTGATGTTGTTGGTTAGTGCTGTCCAGTTGGTTCCAGCTGGTTGATTTGAACCACAAACCTTGCAGTTGGCAGTGTAGTGCTTATCTCATAGTGCCACACCAGAACTCCTGATACCACTCTGTAAATACGGTAAATACACCCATTTCTTTTACAAAGACTAGAGGTGGTCTTGCTTATGGGTAATTATTGCTCAGATTTTGTTAAGTGCAATTGAGTCGTTTCCAACTCATAATGATCCTGTATAGAGTTTTCTAGGAGCTGGTGAGTTTGAGCCACCGATCTCGTGGTTCTCAGTCCAGTGCTGATCCTACAGCACCATACCAAGATTCCATAATTATTGCTCTGACAGCTCTTATTTTTTTTTTTAAAGCCATTCAAAATCTGGTTCTCTCACTGACTTATTGTGTGAATGTGTACATGAGACTCAATTACCATGAAACACAAAGATTTGTTCCATTCACTGTTAAATTCTTTCTTTGAGCTGTCTGTTGTTTCACCCCTGACATCTGTGTAACTCATTAGTACTGTTCACTGCTGTCCCTGTGTCCCCCCCCAGCTTGGCTCTTTACTTGCCACTTCAACAGCAGGTCACACCTCAAAGGTCATCGTGTGACAGCCACACAGCTCTATGTTCTTGTCTCTGTAACTGTTTGGAATCACAGCCAAAGGGGAGGACTGCACCCTTATTCCAAACAGCAAAGATACACATTCTCTCCAGGTCTCAGGATAATGAAAAGCACTTCCTGGTCTGCAGCCTCTGATTTACTTCATCCCCCTCATTTTACAAATGGAGGAATGGAGAGTCAGAACTGAAGTGCCTTTCTCAGGGCCATCCAGCTGGTTAGAGGCAGACTTACCAGCTTTGGACACCCAGCAGGATTCTGGGCCCATTCGTTTTTTTTTCACACCCATCAAACCTTCAATTATTCAGCCTCTCATATTTTACTCCTGTTATTAAAACTTGGCCTCAGTCAGCCAAGCCTTTACTGAGCTTCCATTATTTGCTAGTTAGAGGGACTATAGGGATTAAAGAAGGTACTGATTCTTATGAGCTCCTCACAGCTTGGTTGGGGAGACATGACTTTATTACTGCTGTGGTGAGTGTGGGGTAGAGAGGGCGCCACAGTGATCAGACTTTCATCACTGAGAATTTGATGCTTTCTTGCCTTACTCTAACCTTGACCTTTTGCTGAACCGGCACCACCAACCACACCACCAGCTGTGGTTCAACTTTGTGGCAGCCTGTGGACTCTTCTGTCCAGCCGAGAAAACATCAGAACTCTAATGTTAGGCTGGCTCTAGTTACATTATATTCTCATCATTCTTTCCCACTGACCCCACACACTCGTTTGATCATTTTGGGATATATATAAACAGAGTTCACGAGCACAGAGTTGGGTACCCAGAAGGTACTACTCAATGCAGTTATTTAAAAGAATGTAGAGTCTACAAAAATTCTCTCATGTTTTTCTTTCTTTTCCCTTAAATCCACCACTGCTACGGCATCTAGCCATTTCCAATAAGAGGAAAGAATATTCCAGTTGGGACTTCAAACATAATGCTCATCCATGTAGTAAAGTTGGTTTGTCTTCCCCCATAGGATCTTAGACTTCTCCTTTGTAATTCTTTAATGTCTGATGCCTTTAGTTGTCCTCCCAATGTACACTGGTTCTTAAATACACGAAAACCTGTGAAAGCCAGAATCTCTGTAAAGTGAACACCTGTCAGAGAAGGAAAATTCAAATATCTTCTACTAATATTGTTGTTGTTGTTAAGTGCTGTGGAGTTGGTTCCAACTCAGAGCAACCATGTACAGGGTTTCCAAGGAACAGCTGGTGGGTTTTAACTACTGACCATGTAGTTATTAGTTCAGTCCTTATCCTACAGGACCACACCGAGAGCAATCAAAAAGTGGTAAGACAGCACCCTATTAAAGATGGAAACCTTGTGAGACTTGGAAGAACAGGGAAGTCTCTTTGAGTTCCAGCACTCCTAGGCTTCACTGTGCCTTGAAATATGTGCCTTACTGCTCTCTCTCTTAAAACACAGTGTTTAGGGTGGTGGTGCTTGGTGGTTATGTGCTGTGGAGTCAGTTCTGACTCATAGTGACCCTGTACAGAGTTTCCGAGGCTTACTGGAGCAGAAAGCCACATCTTTCTCCCACGGAACAGCTGGTAGTTTCAAACTGCTGACCTTGTGATTCGCAGCCCGATTCGTAACCACTACGCTACCAGAGTAGACAGTAAGTATTTGAATGAATGCTGTCTTTCATTGCTTAAAACATTGATTTTCATCTTGCCACCTCTTGTTAGAGTTCAACTGATCACTTGCTGATTGTCACGTGGCATTCTCTCAAATACTTGTTTACTCTGTTTATTCTTTCTCTGTATGCTGCTTTATTATTTTTTTTTATAGACCTTAGAGCACTTGTCACTACCCACCTCTAAACTGTATATTTGCTTTTTCTTGCCTGTCTCCTCTACTAGAATATCAACTGTGTGAGGGCAGAGATCCTTTTGTTTCCAGTTGAGCCTAGAACAGTGTCTGGTACATAGTGGGCACTTAAATGCTTATTGCATGAATGAGTTCTAGTGTGTGTGTTGGTCATAGGTTGGCTGCCCCTGTTTCTTAGTCATCATAATTACCCCTCCTACATTCTGACTTTTATTTATACCAATCTCTTGAAAATAGCAATGCTTATAAAATCCAGGGATCTTGTCTTACCACTCTTTGTTCTCCATCTCTTTTGAGCAGGGCACCTTTGACTGCCTTATATTTGAAATAATTTTTATGAATTATAAGCATCGTTACTATGAATATGACTTCAAGTTCAACTTCACCAACTATGACCTGTTAGAATATCATCTCCTTTTTTTGTTGTAAGCTCACTAGGTTTCTATTTATGCTTGTCTCCCAAACTTTTTCCAGTGCATCTATTTCTGCAGAGTGGGAAAGCCGTTTTTATTTCTCAGATGTTCACGGACTGATCTTTAAGGTTTCCTCTCTCCTTTACATCCATCTAGTCACCAAGTTCTTTCATTTCGTCCTTTAGAATGCCATCTTTTCTCTCTCAGTCTCCCACTCCCATGTTGTTGGTGTACCGTGCATTCTCATTGTCCATGGCTGGTCTCTTGTTGAAGCTCTTCAGTT